AAAAGGTGAATGTCATGATGAAGAGACTGTGAACTCTAAAGAACAGTCTGTAGATGAAATAGAGCCATTTGTAGAAACCATAGAAACATTATCCCTACCTTCAGATGCTGAAAACCTTCCAGGCAATGTAGATGGTGTAAACCCGCAGGGAAGCACAACTGTTCGTGTGTTTGTGTATGTGGATGTTGTAAACCAATTTCCACAGTATTATATGCCATATTTCAATCTATTTCCAGAGGGTTTGTTGACTGTTAACCCATTTCAAGGTGGAATTCAACCTTTTGGCCCCTATGCAGAGGATCTACTAAATCAGAACTTAGATTCAACTAATGTGAACGCTCTTGCTGAGAGTATAAGGACCACAAACCTACATATTTCTGTAAACACTGACAATCTGTTGGGAGAAAGTATGGAAGCTCTTGACCAAATATCAGTAGTTAGAAATCAATACGCCGAGGAAATGACAGGTCTAAGTGCTGCTGCAGATAGTGGAAAAACCCCACTTGCAGTGGATATGGCAGCTCAAAGTGCTGGTACAGACAGTGGCAATACCCCACTTGCAGTAGGTATGGCAGCTCAAAGTGCTGGTGCAGACAGTGGGAATACCCCACTTGCAGTAGATATGGCAGCTCAAAATGCTGATGCAGACAGTGCAAAAGACCCACTTGCAGTAGATATGGCAGCTCAAAGTGCTGGTACAGACAGTGCAAAAGACCCACTTACAGTAGATATGACAGCTCAAAGTGCTGTTGCAGACGGTGTTGATAGCCCACTTGCAGTAGATATGGCAGCTCAAAGTGCTGGTGCAGACAGTGGAAAATATTCACTTGAAGTAGATATGGCAGCTCAAAATGCTGGTGCAGGCAGTGAGAAGACCCCACTTGTAGTAGATATGGCAGCACAAAATGCTGTTGCAGACGGTGGGAATAGCCCACTTGCAGTAGATATGGCAGCTCAAAGTGATGGTGCAGACAGTGGGAAATCTCCACTTGAAGTAGATATGGCAGCTCAAAGTGCTGGTACAGACAGTGGGAATACCCCACTTGCAGTAGGTATGTCAGCTCAAAATGCTGATGCAGACAGTGCAAAAAACCCACTTGCAGTAGATATGACAGCTCAAAGTGCTGTTGCAGACGGCGGGAATAGCCCACTTGCAGTAGATATGGCAGCTCAAAGTGATGGTGCAGACAGTGGAAAATATTCACTTGAAGTACTTATGGCAGCTCAAAGTGCTGGTGCAGGCAGTGAGAAGACCCCACTTGCAGTAGATATGGCAGCTCAAAGTGATGGTGCAGACAGTGTGATGGCCCCACTTGCAGTAGATATGGCAGCTCAAAATGCTGATGCAGACAGTGCAAAAGACCCACTTGCAGTAGATATGACAGCTCAAAATGCTGTTGCAGACGGTGGGGATAGCCCACTTGCAGTAGATATGGCAGCTCAAAGTGCTGGTGCAGACAGTGGGAAATCTGAACACATGTTGGAAGAGAGTATGGATTCTTCTGACCAATTTTCAGAGAGTGTAAATTCATGTGCTGAATTTACACAGAGTACAGATAAAGACAGTGGTAATTCATCTGTAGAAAGTGTTTCACATACTGATGTATCTGCCAAGGCGTTTGAAGATATAAGTCTATCTTCTTCAAAAACATCTCTCCAAAGCATATTACCTGCCAAGAAACATGGTTTGTTCTGCAGGGTAAGAAAATGCCTCCGTCCATCATGTATATCAACAACAAAGCACCGCACACCAGACACCCGGGAAATATTTGCAGAAAGCTCCAATTCACACAAAGCTGATCAATCAATTAAAAATAAGAATCAACGTAAATCACCTTCTCTCAAGAAGCGTATTCATCGT